ATGAATATTGTTCATTTATGTTCACATGTATTTATATTTGGTTAATATTTGTTTCACTTACATCACCTATCAGGGGTGGACTGACCATTTGGAAACTCGGGCACTGCCCGAAGGCCCGGGGTCAGTAGGGGGCCCCATGAGATGCCGCTGGTACCTTTTTCATAGGCTTTTTTGAGTTTGGGCAAAGACACAGGGGCCCCATGATCCCCTATTGCCCGGGAGCCCCATGAGTTGTCAGTCCGCCCCTGTCACCTATCACTTTTATTTAGTCACACTCTTGATGGCATGTTTTTGGGCTACACATTTGGTGCACCACTGTACACCTATATATTTATTCATATCATTCATGTATTCACCCATTTAACATCGAGTCCTTTATTTATATTTTTATGTCTATTATCACATGGTATCAGCACTGCACCACCTTATCTGCTTATATTTCATCCATTCTAGTCTAGTTAGGTGTCAGCAGCTTCTTCGTTTTTATATCTTCAGCAGCGCATGAGTCCACCCCCTTTATGCAGTGATGTCATTGCTATCCCCACCCCTTTGCTTAGGAGTATTGGGAATTCCCATGACATTACTAGTTCCTAGGGAAGCCACAGGTGCTTGCACCCGCATCATCCCTGGAAAAACACTGACATCACAAGGAATGACACTGACCACATATGGCTATGGCCACATTTGGTCAATGATGTCACCACTATCCCCACCCCTTCCCTTATATATGTAGCTGCTAATAGTTCAGGAGCTGTCATTTGGCTGGTGTCACCCCCGGGGTTATGGGCGCTGGGTTTTTTCTTTTAAGTGGGTTGTTGGGTGGCAGGCATTATGATTGATGATGGCTTTACAGCAAGGGATGCTGTCCATGAGGCCTAAAAAAGTTTGCTATAACATGTGATAAAGTTTTTTATTTAATATGTCCAGTGTCTTTAGAGTCTTTTTTGTGACTTGAGATCAAGGCAGGGGTGGACTGACCATTTAGCCACTTGGGCAGTGCCTGAGGGCCCAGGGTCAGTAGGGGGCCCCATGAGATGCCCCTGGTACCTTTCATAGACTTTTTTGGGTGTGGTTTGAGTGTGGGTGAGGACACAGGGGCCCCATGATTTCCTATTGCCCGGGGGCCCCATTAGTTGTCAGTCCGCCCCTGGATCAAGGTGTACTTTTATCACAGAAGGAAATTAACAGATTAACATTATAAAAGGAATAACAATTCTTAGATGTGATGGCTGCATTTGTTTCCTTTTTTAGGCTTGCTTTCTTTCTTCTGTTTTCATCTGGTGATTTAGCCAGCAACCCTGCTGTTTTCCAGAAGTTCAAGCTCTCCGGCAGAATGTATCAGTTTACATGGATGAAAAAATCCATTTACCACTGAGAGGGGTAGATAAAATGATCAGCTTTTAGTGGGGTCTCACTAACACCAAAGGTTTGTTACTGGCCAGATCACCAGGTGAAAACACAGGGAAAAAGGCCTATAAAAATGGAAAGTAATGCGCCCCACCACATTTAGTGACTGGTAAGCTGCATTATATTACATTTATATTTTTGAGTTTAAGACCGCTTTAAAACTTGGTGATGACTAGGTTCACTTCCTCTGCACTCATGGTCCTGGCAACTGGCATCACAGACACAAAGCACTGCACTGTAGGAAGGCAAGAAGAGTGTTCTGTGTTCCCTATAACTGGAATTAGCCTGGCTCAGGCATACAAGAAATCAGCACTGTCTCTTTATCAGGGATTTTGCTCCTTTGCTTAGCATAGGCAAAGTACAGTTTAATTTCAGTTCAGGGAAAATATTACATTTAGTGATGCTCCTTATAATCTATATGTACCAATCACAAAAAAAGATGCCTCGTGCTGCTGATAGATGTTGCTTCTAAACCAGAATAAATATACAGTCATGGCCGAAATTGTTGGCACCCTTGATATTTCTCCAGGAAATCATGTATTTCTCACGAAACGTATTGCATTAACACATGTTTTGCTATACACATGTTTATTCCCTTTGTGTGTATTGGGACAAAACAAAAAAAGGGAGGAAAGAAAGCAAATTCGACATAATGTCACACAAACCTCCAAAAATGGGCTGGACAAAAGTATTGGCACCCTTTCACAACTGCGGATAAATAAGAATGTTACAAGCATGTGATGCTCCTGTAAACTCACCTGGGGCAAGTAACAGGTGTGGGCAATATAGAAATCACACCTGAAAGCAGATAAAAAGGAGAGAGACGTTCACTTAACCTTTGCATTGTGTGTCTGTCTGTGCCACACTAAGCATGGACAACAGAAAGAGGAGACGAGAACTGTCTGAGGACCTGAGAACCAAAATTGTGGCAAAATATCAACAATCTCAAGGTTACAAGTCCATCTCCAGAGAACTAGATTTGCCTTTGTCCACAGTGCGCAACATTATCAAGAAGTTTGCAACCCATGGCACTGTAGCTAATCTCCCTGGTCGTGGACGGATGAGGAAAATTGATGAAAGATTGCAACGCAGAATAGTCCGGATGGTGGATAAGCAGCCCCAAACATGTTCCAAAGACATTCAAGCTGTCCTGCAGGCTCAGGGAGCATCAGTGTCAGCGCGAACTATCCGTCGACATTTAAATGAAATGAAACGCTATGGCAGGAGACCCAGGAGGACCCCACTGCTGACACAGAGACATAAAAAAGCAAGACTACAGTTTGCCAAAATGTACTTGAGTAAGCCAAAAGCCTTCTGGGAAAACGTCTTGTGGACAGATGAGACCAAGATAGAGCTTTTCGGTAAAGCACATCATTCTACTGTTTACCGAAAACGGAATGAGGCCTACAAAGAACAAAACACAGTACCTACGGTAAAATATGGTGGAGGTTCAATGATGTTTTGGGGTTGTTTTGCTGCCTCTGGACTGGGTGCCTTGACTGTGTGCAAGGCATCATGAAATCTGAGGATTACCAAAGGATTTTGGGTCGCACTGTAGGGCCCAGTGTCAGAAAGCTGGGTTTGCGTCCAAGATCCTGGGTCTTCCAGCAGGACAATGACCCCAAACATACGTCAAAAAGCACTCAGAAATGGATGGCAAAGAAGCGCTGGAGAGTTCTGAAGTGGCCAGCAATGAGCCCAGATCTAAATCCCATTGAACACCTGTGGAGAGATCTTAAAATTGCTGTTGGGAAAAGGTGTCCTTCCAATAAGAGAGACCTGGAGCTGTTTGCAAAGGAAGAGTGGTCCAAAATTCCGGTGAGAGGTGTCAGAAGCTTATTGATGGTTATAGGAAGCGACTGATTTCAGTTATGTTTTCCAAAGGGTGTGCAACCAAATATTAAGTTAAGGGTGCCAATACTTTTGTCCAGCCCATTTTTTGGGGTTTTGTGTGACATTATGTCATATTTGCTTTTCTGCCTCTGTTTTATATTTGTTCCAATACATACAAAGGGAATAAACATGTGTATAGCAAAACATGTGTTAATGCAATACCTTTTTTGTGTGAAATACTTGATTTTCAGGAAAAATATCAAGGGGTGCCAACAATTTCGGCCATGACTGTATATATCCTCTGCAGGGGCGGACTGACAACTCATGGGGCCCCCGGGCAATAGGGGATCATGGGGCCCCTGTGTCCTTGCCCAAACTCAAAAAAGCCTATGAAAAAGGTACCAGGGGCATCTCATGGGGCCCCCTACTGACCCCGGGCCCTCGGGCAGTGCCCGAATTTCCAAATGGCCAGTCCGCCCCTGATCCTCTGTAACAATGCCAGGTGAGGGCCAAGTACAAATGTCTATTATAATATGTTATTATCATTTAAAAGCCTTTGTAATAATCAAAGTAGAAAACAGGAACTAAACAAAATTGCTTTAATAGATTTTTTTTTTAATTTTCATTAGAATGCAGCAAATATAATTAAAATTTTTCTGATTTCTGTCTGTATACTGACAGGTAATAATGTGAAAATCCAAGTCATCTTGTTCCTGCAATGGATTAGATGGATTATGCGCTATGGCAAATGGAAAATAATAACATCCTCGCAGCAGCACCGCTTACAAGCTTTCATTTGTGGTTCGAATTCAGAGAGACATTCGTCTACATACATTTTCTGACAATAATTGCAAAGAGGGAGAAAAGCGTTGTGATACATAATGTATTATTGATAAAAGATAAAAGGCGCTGCTAAGGTCCTCCCCCTCCATGTGTTGCACATACGGTAAATAATTCCACTCTGCGAAGGATGGATCGGGTGAAAACCAGAAGTGCTTTATTAAGAACGGCTGTAATAAACACAGAAAACTCTAATTACATGTGACCGGATGTGTTCACTGTAATCACAGTCCTCTATACATTTCGAAACATTTCCATATATATTAATAAGTATTTCCATATGCATTAATAATCAACTTTAATCGCAATACTGAATATCTAGACCTCTGCAGATATGCTATTAACCTGTTCTGCATAACAATAGCGTATTACAATAGAGAAATCACATTTCCTGTATCTTAGCGCCAAATCGCATAGCTGCAATATACATTCACATTTATTCTGCGAGTAGTCTGATTGCATAATAGTAGCAGCAGAATTTACTGACCACCAGGGCACATGTTAAGTCATTTTGTCCTATTTATCATGTTAAACAGCCTCCTGCTTACCTGTAATAAACACAGAAAACTCTTAATTACATGTGACCGGATATGTTCACTGTAATCACAGTCCTGCCGGAAACAAAGTGTTAGACTTTTAGTTCCCCCTTCTGTGTCCTCCTATTATAAACAGGATGTAGTTCTGCCATCTTGTGGTGATACAATACAAATGCAATTATTAGTATCTTCTATTGACAAAGATAGATTACTATTATATTAGGTATTTGGTTACTACCGCTAACTATCGCTGTTCTCTAACCGGTCTAAAACCACTTTTGACCTAACGGGACGCTTTTTGGATGCCATGGACGTTTCTCAGTTTCCAAGCAGAAAGAACAGTAAAAATGCAGGCAGGGCGCAGGACAAAGCACTCAGGACAAAATGTATGTGAAATGGTTTGATACAGTAATGGAATACTATGTGATTTTAGTGTATTTAGTGAATGTCACTTTTTGTCATTTTCAAATTTCCCGCCGTTCTGTCCCCCGTACATCCCGACGTCGCAGGGAATGGAACCCAGAAGACGGATGCCGGCATCCGCCGGAGGACATTGCTGGGGATACTGCAGGGAGGACATCGCGGTGAGCGCAGGACAAGGTAAGAGAAGAACAGATCCCAGAGCAGCGCCGCATGGTAAGCCCAAGTGTAGCTCGGGGGTTACCGCTTGTGGTACTGAAACCTTACCCCGAGCTACACTCGGGAATACCGCCAGGGAGGCTACGGCAGCTCTGAAGGGAAAAAGGGGTCCAACCCGGTACTTGCAAGACGTACCTAATAAAGTGGCTGGTGAGTGTAGGTGATGAAGAAGAAGCATGACTAGGTGGTGGAGAAAGAAGAACATTGTGCTATAGGTGCTGTAAGAAGACAAAACTAGTATTCAAACAAGAGGAAAATGGTGGTATAGGTGTTGGGGGAGGAAAAGTTATACAGTGCAAGAGGAGGAAAACCAAGTTATAGGTGTGGAAGGGAACTGGGGGTAGAAGTGAACAAAAAGGAAAATGGTAATTATTGGTTGTGGAGTAGGAGGAAACTGGTAACATAGGTAGTGGAGATGAGAATGGAAACTGCAGGCAGTGGTGTCATATTAATCCAGAGATTTACTTTAAAAGCTTGATTTTATAGGTATACTTAATGATACAAATGTGCCCATATTCAACACAAAAATATTTTGTTTTCTGTATTCACTCTGAAATCAAATTAGAATTATATACCCCCAGGAGCAGAGAAATGTATACAGCAAATGCTCATCCTGTTCCTGCCATTTATTTCCACTATCCTACCAGATATTAACCGATAATAAAAATGCAGCAGTCAACCTTTATCTGGGTATTGACATTTATTATGATGCAAGAACTGAAAATGTCGTATAGAGAATAAATTGTTCTTTGAAGGCATCTGGTTACAGCGAGTCTCTAAGAAAGATATATTTATAAAAAAAAAAATGGAAGCATAAACAATCGACCTCTAAAGCCGGATTTAGAGAAATGTTTTTGCTAAAGCAGTAGACCTTAAAGAATAAAATCTGTTTTTATATGTTTTAGTAAATAACACGGTCCTTTATTTCACATCAGTCAACAAGTGAAAAAAATGGCAAAAACTAAAATATCAAAATAATTTTCCATTTATTGCAATGTGTGCAGTATTGGGATTTGGAATATGTCAGACGGAATTATTGTCTGTAATTAGCTTTATGATGAAGTGGACTTAACGTCAAACACTAATTAAATGTAAGTCTGCTCCTGCATCTATTCTAAGGCTGGTCATACACGTGTAGATTTTCAGCTGAGAATATTCATTTCAAGAATATTCATTTGATTTTTATAATTGTTAAGCTGGCCATACACATATATTATTTATTACAAGTACTTGTATAGCACCATCAATTTACGCAGTGCTTTACATATATATTGTACATTCACATCAGTCCCTAACCCTCAAGGGGTGTACAATCTAAGGTCCCTAACTTACATTCATATATACACATACTAGGGACAATTTACACAGGATCTAATTAACCTACCAGCATGTCTTTGGAGTGGGAGAAGAAATCAGAGTACCCGGAGGAAACCCACAGAGACACAGTGAGAACATGCAAACTCCAGGTAGGTGGTGCTGTGGTCGGGATTAGAACCAGTGACCCTAGTGCTGGGCAGGCAGAGCTGCTAACCAGTAAGCCACTGTGCTGCCCACATATAGTTTTTTGTTCTAGAATTGTAGTTTCAAGGATATTCGTTTGATTTTCTTATCGTTAGTGGGGTCAAATTGATGTTTGTTTTGGACAGCAGTGACCAGAAAATTTGAAGGGGCAGGAAGGAAAACTTTTCTAGATCAAACTAATTTTTGGCCAGTGTATGTGGTTAGTGTTCAGAAATTACATTCATTTTAAAATCGAATGTTAAAAGCAAAAGACAATTTTCGAAAGACATTTCTCAATTCATCGAATGAGCAAAGAATTTTTGTACAACTTTTTTTACAGATACTCTTGGCCAAAAATCTACAAGTGTATGGCCATCTTAAGCCTATTCTATCTAGTGAAAGGAAAGATGTCTATACTTACCTACTGTGAGGGTGTTCCGGTCCAGTCACATGATCAAGTCCCAGCAAGAGGGAGGGACAGCCGACTATGGAATAGTCCCATAGTAAGTCCCATATTATGGGATGGCCCATAGTAAGTCTATATAATGAACATCTTCTCCCAGGTTCTGCAGCCATTGCTGGCAATCTCTCCTCTTCACTGAAACCAGCACTGGGACCTAATCATGTGATTGGACCGGAGCACCCTCAGCTTAGGTAAGTATACCCAAAGCTTCAGTAAATATAGACACCTTTCCTTTACAAATGTAGTGGTACCCCCCGTATTGACCAGCAATTTTGTAGGTCCCTTGGCCTTTTCCCGTGACTGCAAGGCACATGTGGACAGTCACTCTGTTGGCTCAAGGAACAGTCCACGGGATACGTTTTTGATGATTTAATAAATATTTAACTTGGATAGAGATGGGAGATGGTAAGATACTCTAGTAACTCCTAGAGACATCTCGAGGACAGAGGACTTGCTTAATTGAACACAGTCACTGTATAGTCAGGCTCTGCAATGACAGTGTTGAGGAGGTTAAGCCTTGCTCGATGTACAGCTCAAGCAAAATTCCCTTCACAAGAAATTACATAGACTGTGCTCTTCCGGACACAGCAACTTCTTAGTAGACACTCGGCTGACCTTCTAACACACAGGAGGGATGGCAGCAGCACTCAGTTTCTAGGATCTCTCATCCTTTTCTGCACTGAGTAATGTTTGTGGAGAAATGGATGCCTCCTACCAGTATCCTGCAGGCACTTGCTGTTAGTAGTGCCAGACCAGATCCTCAGCACCTCAGTCAGCCCTCAGTAACCTTCAGTAGCAACAGAAACAACATCTCTTGAGCTTAGGGACCCAGGTTAAGAATAGATGGGTGGGTGGGAAAAACACTTGTGGAAGCACATACACCAATGGATCAAAGGTTGTACAGCTCTGAACAAGGCTTGGGAAGCCCGGCCAGTACTGCAAAGTAAAACAAAACGAGAACGCACCAACCTTGCGCATTACCTCAATAAACTGTGATTTTATTAAAATGAGATATATACTCACAAACAAAAAAGTAAAGATCCTCAAGGGAACATTGAAGTACAAATCCAGTGTGAGTCACATCAAGAGGGGAGACTCTCAAAGTTTCGAAGGGGGTCCCTTCTTCCTCAGAGCTAACAAAACTATGAGTGCCCTATTCTATATACATTATGGAACTAAGACTAGGCCCTCCCAACTGGGCTGGGCAGTTAACCTTCAGTAGCTCCAGACCCTCCAGCCTCCCAGCTGGGACCTTCTCTTGGCAAGCACATGGCCGTAGTGCCAAGGGAGGGCAAACAGCACTGTAGGCTGTGATCTTTCCCTCTAGACAACCCAGCTGCTCTCTGCTCCAGGGTATTTATGCATTCTCCCAGTAACCTCCCGACCAGGAGTCCTGGGAATTGACTGGGGCTACAGAAATATTAAAATGCTGATTAAAATCTTCCTGCCTTTATTACCCAGAGCTCCTGAAGGTGAACAGAAGGAAGCAAGCCATCAAGCAGCCTCTGAAACACTGACGAAACCAAAATAATCAAATGCAACTTCACTGGTTACAGTGCATCGTTTCTAAATTTACCTATACTAACAACTTATATTACAACCCAAACAATTTACAGCCCTAATGGATACTGGGGGATCAAACTAAATTTGTCTAACAGAACAAATTAGTTCCTTGACTACAATGGGCCCAACTACATGTACCTATCCTATCACCTAACTAGGAGGGTGCCACATAGGGTAGATAGAATAGACTTAGCATGGTGGTAGGAGTAGTATTAGGTAGATCCAAAAAGTGAACATTTGCTACATTATAGGGAACACTTAGGCCCCTTTCAATCTGCTCTGGTGTGGTTTCCCTACAGTGCGGAAGCAGTGCAGTGTATGCTCGGTTTTCATGAGGGTTACTCATGCTTTCCCATAGACTTCTATTAGATTGGGCGGTTTTGGTGCATTTTCATTAAGAGCACCAAAATGATATATAACTTCAAAAAAATTAAGTTTGCGCTTAAATATATACAAAAGTGTAACCAAAAATGTGACAAAACAATAAAAAACAATATTTTAAATCAAAGTGAAATCCAGCAAAAAAGAAAAAAGCATTGTGAGGACGTCGATGACAAAAAGCTTAGGGCGGTGCCTTTGGATGTGACGTTCAGCATGCTCCTGGTCTGCTTGCACATTGCTTGTGCATGTTTAGCTGGGTCTGAGTCGCTTTTATTCATTACACACGCTGTCTATACAGGTGTCAGTCTGGACACCTTGCTTGTAAGTGCATTTCTTCATTAAAGTTTGATGTTTTTTTAAAAACATACTGCACCATGATTGTTCACTTTTTTCTTTCCAGTGACGGTCTGATCATCTCTCAGTTTGGATACTAAATCACCTTTGGAGTGGATTTTCAGCTTTGCAGAACATAATCTGTTGGAGTTCATCCCTCATTTCTTCAGTGTTGCTGTCACCATAATAATTATTGCTCCCAGAGTAACAAGTGCTATATGCTGGTTTTTCAACAATCAGCATATTACTCTGGTGAGTTTTATTTAACCATTTTTGGTGGCGGATTCACTTGGTGATTAATTATTTTGGACATTATTGATTATTTGAACTTTTGGACTTTTTTCTTTTTTGCTGGATTTCACTTTGATTTAAAATATTGTTTTTTATTGTTTACACTTTTGTATGTATTTAAGCGCAACCTAAAATTATTTTGAAGTTTTGTATATCCTATAAGTTTATAGGCTAGGTTCTGCAGCTTACTTTTGTCTTACACAATTTCCGTGGTGCTGGTTCTATACTTATATACCAAAATTATATAGTCTAATATACATGTATGGGAAGGTAGGGGTAACCTGCATGAAAAAACTATGGCTACACTGCATAGCACCCATGAACTGCGCAGAAACTGCCCCAGAGCAATGCCAAATTGCCCTTAGAATAGTAATTGAGCCTTGGCAAAACCCTAAAAATGCAATTTGATCTTCAGTTCCTCCTAAAAAAATATTAGTTCACTTTCTAGTAAAATATATCAAACTCCGGGGCACTGATTTCATGGATACAGTTTGGCCCATAGAAGCAAGGCCTGGTTCCACAGCTGCTCTACCAACCATCAGGAGTGATAAGTAA